ACAATTTTCTTTAACCAATTTTTGTCTTTAATGCAGGGCCGACAGACAAGTTCCTTACTTTTTCCCCCTTCCACTTGACTCTAAATACCCATAACCTACCGAACTACTGTATATCCCATAAACACTGAAGTGACTCACTCCGATAATTGCTCTTTCTCTCTGGAAAAGAAAAAGACTGACATTATCCAAATAAATACCCAGGTCACAGAATTACTTTTATTCTTTTTAGGAGGCTTATGGAGGCTTATGTATATTATCCTATTATAGGGTATTTAACTTTGATGTAGCTATTTTAGTGTTGTTTAGACTGTGCCCCCCATAAATAAATTAATGAAAAAAGCCGACCAGTTGATTGTGTGAGGGGGGGGGGGGGGGGGGGCAGTTAATTGTCATAATTGAACAAAATGATCTCCTCCTCCAAATGGCTGTAAAATTAGCTCAGGGCATTAGGGAATTATATTGTTGTGGAGAGCAACATCAGCCCATCAGTGTCTCTCCACTCCATCAGAGGGGTCAGGTAGGAGAATGGACCGGCTCCCCTCCATCCCAGGTCCCTGTCACTGTGATTACAACCCCTTGACTGGGTGGCACCAACTGGATCCAGACAACAACAGGGGTGACCCCGATCCCCCTGCACTGAGCACAACAACCCTGGGCTCCATGCACAGGAAGGAGGGAGGCTCTCTCTGGAGCACAACACAACAACTCCCAAGCGAGAAGGGGAGGGAACAGGCAGAGGAGGAGGGCGAGAGCGCTTAAATTGCCGGTATTGAGGCAGTATGGGATATTCTACTCCAAGAGAAAGAAAACTGGTTGAAAATTTGTGAAAAATTATGTTTTGAATACAGGTACATGTCAGTCAAATGAAATAGTACAACAATGAAAAGCTACTGTTATGCTTTGTATGCTGAAGGTAAAGGTATTGTAAGTTTCACACCCAATCAGTATAAGCTAATATGTAACGTTGGGGATTTTACCATAAATATCAATATCCTGTATCCAATACTACGCCGCCTTTTTTATACCCGAGGTGAGGTCCTCGGGACTAAACTAACACATACACACAGAGGCTTCATGCTATAACATTTTTTAACGTTGTTGTTGTTTCTCTGTAATACTACTAGCCACCTAGCAATTTTATGAAGTTGGCTTTAGCTAGCCCAGATAGGTTCCCAATCTCCAAACATCATAACTAGCCACCAAGAAGCCATCACAGTGCAGTTATCACAAAACATATTATTTTCCGTGTTATAGCCTAACTAAACGATAGGCTATAAAGGCCTGGGGAAAGTTGTGTAATTTAAATAAAACCAGAGCGGAAGAGGCAAACTTTAGGCTACTTTGGTGAATTTGCGAGGCATGCAAGACAAGACATTGCGAGATACAGATTACCAAGACATATGCGCAAGGTTCTTTCTGCCTGCCCCCTCCTCTCACTCCCTCGCGCTGGCTCGCCTGCTCTTTCTCTTCGCTAATGATGCGAGTGTGTGTTCAGTCTTTGGTATGTTGCATGTAGAATATCCTAGCCTATTCATTGATAGGCTCTGCTTTACTGAAGTTGCGAGACATTGCAAGCCAAGAAATTACGAGATACAGCATTCCATTGCGAGATACAGCTTTCGATTGCCGATAGATAGGGCTAGTGCACGGTTCTGACTGTCTGCCTGGTGGCCGACCTGCCTATACTGTGCTCCTCTCTCTCCATCCCTTGCTAGCTTGCAATGAAAGATGCAAGTGTTTGTGTTCTCGGAAGTACGGCAAGTAATCAGTCTCCTCTGTTCCAAAAATACTGAATCAGAAATGGGAGTCGACGTGCATGGAATCAATTATTTTGAAGTTGCTGTTTCCCCCCTAGCCCTCACGTACTTTGTGCCCCCTCAGATTTTTGGGGTGCATGACACCACTGTACACAGGTTCTTTAACATCAAGGACTGGAGCTTGGGAATAATAGGAAGAGGTATAGTGATCAACAAAATGTATTTTCCTGCTGCATTACACCATACACAACAATATTTTCGTCTTCAGCTCCAGGTACTTGTTTCATGGAAGCTCTTGTACAAAATCCCTTTTACAGGACATAAAAACATTAGTTGACGTACAAATCCACAATTTGATTCAATATAGGCCAGAGCCATGGAATAATGTACAGATCAGATGAATTACTCAGTCAAATAACATGTGTTACGCAACACTCTCAGGAGGGCGTGCCCAGGGAGAAGGAGAGCAGGTTCAACCAGCATACGGGCAACCTCGCCATAAATGCACTTACGATCCACAGATACACTTCTGAATTTGGACTAGCCCAATGTCACCGCTCCCATCCTCCCTGCGCACACCAACCTTCTCAATGTAATAAGAATCTCTTGAATGACAGAAAACAGCCTGGTTATATACTGAAGGCCACGCCCTTAATTACAATCAATCTTACACACCTGTCACTGACAGAGACACAAACCTGCTTTCACCAACTCAACAGTTCCAGCCTGTTACAAATCCAATAATTGTTCATGATTTCTGAATATTGCAGCAAAGGCATATGCTGATGACGAGTTTAACAAATAAACGTTATAATTCTATAGGACAGACTCCCATATTCAAAAGGTAGGAGCAGGGAGCTGGTGGTGGTTGGTTGAGAGTGACAGAAATGTATTACCCAGACTGCATAGGAAATCCATTCAGCCTGCCAGTCAGGACCACATGGCCTGGTGCCGCTGAGGAGAATCTAAAGCTAATCCTCTCATATCTTCCCCTAAGTTGCAAATCACAATCAAGAGATGGGAGATAAGATAAGACAGGAGGAGAGACAAGAAGGAGGAGGAGGGGGATTAGTGAGGCAGCAGTTTGCTTGAAGCAGACAATAAATAATGGAGAGAATGAGGATGCTAGAGCGTAGCACTTAATATTAACAGCTCAGATAACATAGTAAGAGTATGGTAATAAGTAATTGTTACCTGCAGTGTGACCGACTAGAAGTAACACAACAAACCCTAAAACAGATCTTCATTTGATCACCCTGTTGCAGGAAAACTTTGCAGTAATGCAGCAAATGTAAAACTTGTATTTTAAGTCAGACTTGATTTTCCCATACGAAAAATATATCAACCCCTACAAAAAGGTCCATTCATTATAATCCACATAATAATTTAAATTTCCTGTTGCTGCAGGATTATTTTCCTGCTGTAACAAACTGTCTCAAATTAAGATCCTACATCTGTATAGACTGAAGGGATAGTGTGATGGAAGGAGTCAGACGCAGGAGGATAATCACCGAATACAGAGTTTATTCCTTCGTTACACAAAATACGTTGGAATAGCGACAAACGAAACAGGGGAAACTATCTACCCTGGCAATACACTGTAACAGTATCTCCATACAATACATAGGCACAGGGGAAATATCTACCCTGGCAACAAAATGGTACGAGTAGCTCCACCGCGCAACACTACTCTCACATTCAAACAATCACCCACAAGGACAAGGGGGCAGAGGGAACACTTATACACGGACTAATGAGGGGATTAGAACCAGGTGTGTGCGATTGACAAGACAAGACAAATGTGATGATGATAATTAGGGCGGCAGTGGTTAGTAAGCCGGTGACGACGAATGCCGAAGCCTGCCCGAACAAGGAGGGGAGGCAGCCTCTGCGGAAGTCGTGACAGATGTTAATGTGAAAGATAATGGAAAATGAAAGGAGAAGGATATTGTTTATCCAATGCACTGATATGACAGTTGCGCCTATTCTGTCTGCATTTAGTTAATTATCAGTACAGGCATAATTGACGTGCTATGGTAGAACGTGTATATCAAACCAGACCATGTCCCTCACACAGATTTACTGGAGCAGTAATTGATTCTCTATCCCTGTTGGTGAACACATAATAAGGAGAGGGAGTACAAACCATCGACGCTAGACAGAGAGGAATTTGCTTAATGCAAAAAGGCAGTTTATTAAAACAGAGAGATCTTGTCCTGCTCAAGCTACATGCATGGACCCAATCAATTGCCTCTTATGGAGACAGTTGAGAAGGATGATTAAACAGAGTTTATAGCATTACTTTATACAATGTAACATAAAGGAAGGGGTCCTTCTTCTAGTCCCTTGATTGGTTCCCGAGGCGTAGGAGGCGGGTCTGCTCTGTCCAGAGCAGATGCCCCATTGGTGCACGGCAGAGTCCTCTGCCCTTGGCACCCGACCAGTAGACAGGGGAGTTGAGAATGAGTGTGCGTGCAAATGAAATGTTTGTGTGTGTCAAAGGAAACTCGTGAGAAGCAACTGGTGGGGGCCTTGGGCCTGAGGTGTGGGTGTTGTCCAGTTATCGTACTCCTGTAAGATTAGGCCATCTGGTGCTCTGTTCTTTGTTCGCTACTAAAATGTTATGCACAGACAACTAACACACTGTTAGTATCAGACACATGACACAGAACATTTATTGAAAACAAGCTCCTAACACAATTTGTCTTGCGCAACCTCTTGCACAACATATTACTCAGATCAATCTATAACATTTTATATTTACTACGACAATCCCCCTCCTCCAAATCTCCTCTTTTTCAAACTGCTCCCTGTGACACGGGTGCACACTAAACTAACCATAACAAATGGAATCACTTTGCAGCAGTGAATAGTAAAATGACAACAAAGAAGAGAATAATACAATATATCATTTCAGCTTAGAGAGAGAGAGAGAGAGAGAGAGAGAGAGAGAGAGAGAGAGAGAGAGAGAGAGAGCTCAGACTGGTGCAGTGAGCAGAGAGCTGAGACTGGTGCAGAACTAGCAGCCTAATTGCATTACAAATAAATACTAATATTTCTTAATACTGATTTATGGGCCGTATGAAATAACGACAGCTGGAGGGGGACAGTGCAGTCACGGAGGAGGAGCCGCTGGCTGTGCATGATACCCAGATGCATTAGGAGACACAGAGCCCAGCAGCCCAGATCAGCAGAGTCTCAGCTGCCTGCCTGTGCTGTGTTAAGTCTGCTCAGAGATTATTCCTAACACTGGGGATCACAGTGGCTGAACGACAGGATGGGAGGGACAGGAGGAAATAAAGGCAACAAAACGTCTGACAGGGACTGGAGGAGGGAGGGAGGCAGGGAGGAAAGTAGGGACGGAGGGAGGGACGGAGGGAAGGACGGAGGGAGGGAGGGAGGATGGGAAGGGGGGAGGATGGGAAGGAGTGAGGGAGGGAGGGAGATGCAGCAGTCAGCATGAGAGAAAGAAGGTCGAGAAGAGGAAGACTGTCCTTCTCCATTCTTCTGTTTCAGTGTGTGAAAAGGCTTCTTACATTACTTTATAACAGTTGAGATTTTCCACAGCTGGGGTGAGAAAGATGATTGTTTTTAGATTAGAGAGTGGAGAGATATATAAAGTGTCAAATGAGAAAGTGAAAATGCACCTGTCATGCATATGCCATCAGACAGAAATAGTCACAATTGGGTAATGTTATTCACATTCTCCTTACTCCCCCTGTCATCCAGGGACAGACAAACAGATGCAAGCAAACAACACAAGCTAGAGTATAGCTGTCCTATTAAATACAGATCACAATGATCTGCAATATATTTCTGGCTGCCCAAACCCTTATGGGAACAGATATACAGTTAGGGACCACTGATGATCCTGTGCTAAAAATGCCCTAGCGAGCGTGAACGGTTTGTGTGTTGAGTTGAGGTCTAGAGGACCTGCCCACTGGCTCTCTCTCCATCAGGCTCTTTGTTGTGGTAATCATTCTCCCAGCATTCATAACACTCCCGCTCATCACTGTCCAACACTCATCTCCTCTCACCAGCCGCACGAGCAGCCAGGACTAAAATGAGCACATAGTGAGGACATAATGAGATGAACAAAAACAAAGCTCATTGTCTGCCGAGGCTAGCCAGACCACACATAATGAAACTGCAACCTTGCCATGTCAATATTGTTTCATGAGCTATCTAATACTCCATGGATTGGTTGCATAGATACAGTTAATAATACCATGCTGTAGCCGGGGGGGGGGGGGGGGGGGGGGGGGGGGGGGGGGGTGGTGATCCTCACAACAACAACAAAAACTCTAAAATGCAATTTGCAGAACAGCAAAAACAAGCAAAGATTACCCCAGCTATTATCACATTGGTTGCTGTAGCTTCACTCACCTCAGTCGATCTACATAGCCTATTAGCTATACAATTAGCTGCTACACATTAAGTCACATAACTCAGCACTGAAATTATGTATGCACGCATGATGTAAGTCGCTTTGGATAAAAGCGTCTGCTAAATGGCATATTATTATTATTAGGTGTGACCCAGGTGCGGTGCAGGTTAGACAGTAGGCAGTAGGCAGAGATGGTGAAACAAGGATCTTTACTGATGGTCCCGAAGCCAGGATACAAAATAACGGACTTTACACGAAAAAGAAAGGAGGAGCAAATAAGTCTCCAAAAAACAGGCAGACAGCCAAAAATACGAAATACTAACTATGACTGAAATAATAAATAAACAGGGAGAACACTTTTCACGTACCTGTCCATACGTCCCGCGATTAGACACTGATTAGTGATTAATCGTTTTTATTCAAAAATCCACACCATACATCATCATACACATTACACACACCATTAATTCCCAACCCCAACATCACTAAAAATAACAATACAAAACTACCCACCACAATATATATCAAACACCCACAAAACCGAACAATAACAGAAATTACACCCCAGGGGAGCACCTTCCCTCCCCCTTTATACCCAGCTAAAAACACACACACAAATCCTAAATCCCTACCCCTCTACACTAACCCTAACCCTAAACCCCCCTTCCACCTCTCCCGAGCAGCATGCTGCCCCCACTTCCTCTCCTCTCTCTTCATTCTCCCCCTCAAATTCTGCTCCATCCTATTCACTATCCCCTCCACACCCCCTTCTCTCCCTGTCCTTTCCATTTTCTGCCTAGCTTCCACAACCCCCATTTAAAGAGGCTTATGAGAAGCCAGAGCAGAAACCTGTCCCTAACCGTCCCCCTCACTTTCCCTACACCTCTCTCTACCCTAGCCCACGTCACAACATAACCCCCCCCCCCACCCTGCCTATCAACACCTGTGCCCTAGCCCATACCACCCCGGCGAAAGCACAGCCCCAAAAAACATGGCGCAATGTCTCCTCCCCGCCACAAGTTGGCCTTGGGCAAGTGGGGGATCGAGTCATGCAACGCCCGTACAAGATGGAACGTACGGGCAAGCCCTTATGGAGGCTCAACCAATTCAGGTCCTTGAGCCTGTTATCCAGACCTCGCACCTGCACTCCTTCCCAAACCACAGCCGGGATACCCAATACTGGCCCGGGACACCCTCCCCGTCTCACCTCTTCGTACAGGTGCCTGTGATCTAAACCTACTCGGGCAACTTCAACCTCGAGGTGACCACGCAGCCACTTGGCCGCATAGCCAAAGTGCCACGGCAGCTGTTCCGCCCGAGGACCCGTGTTAGTCCACACCATTACGCTTCTTGCCTGGTAAGAGAAAAACACCCGCAGGAAGTAACCAGACGGATGTATTACCGGATAAGCCAGCTCAGTCAACAAATAAGAAACAAAAATCGAGTCCAGCTTGAGGGGGAAATGTGGTACCCCCCTAACTCCCTCCCCGATGGGACAGAGCATGCGAACCCTCGCGACACGCTCGAGCCTGCCACCCCACATGAACTGAAACACTAGCCTCACTAGAGGCCTCCTCAGACTAACTGGCAATGGGTAGACATACGCCATATACAAAAGAGACGGCAACACATCCACCTTGAGGACCAGGACCTTGCCTATAAAGGACAACGACCTATCCCTCCACATCCCCAGCTTCCTCTGTACCACTGCGATGCTCCTGTTCCAGTTCAGCGTCGCTGAGCCGGAGGTCTCAAACAAGACCCTGAGAATCTCAGGGCCCCGATACAGAGAGATATCCCCCCAGGCACATCCGTCCTCCCACGCCATCTTCCAAAAAACTTAACGGAAGACTTAGCGTGATTGAGAACCGCTCCCGACGCTCGGGTGAATTCCCCAATGATGGCAAGGGACCTAGTCATATCCTATATCTATCATCCCTTACTGTGACATCCACCCCCAAAACCCTCCCCTGCATACCTACCAAAGTGCCCTCCACCTTCACCTCCCTATTCCCAAACAAAAACCCTACCCCTGATGAGTGCACCCCTCCTATACCCCAAACAAATCCTATACTCCTATGTCCCACTCCCTCTTAAACCTTATTACATCCCCACTATCCCTTAGGTGAACCTCCTGTAGAAAACAAACATCAAAACCCACCCCCTCTAAATACCCCAAAACTGCCCTTCTTTTAACATCCTCCCTTATTCCCCTCACATTTAAAGTAACAAAAATAATCCCTGCCATAATACATTTCACAAATTACAACCTACTAAACCCCAAAAAACAAAACAAAACAGGAGGCTCACCTGATGCTCCCCTGCTCCATGTCCTCCTGTAGGGACTCCGACTCCACCCCAGATGCCCCCCCACTCCCCTCCATCTCTCCAACCCAGGATGCAGGAATGGTGTTTGGCTCCTGGGTTCCCTGCATCCTTGGCTCACCACCATCCACCTCCAAAACCCCAATCTCAAAACAGGTTTGGGAACAGTGCAGGGGATCCTGAGCCCTCCTCCCCCTGTGCGTTGGGGGGGGGCAGCGAGGACACAGGAGATTCTTCCCCCACAGCACCCTTCTCCCCCATGACACGCTTGGCCCCACCCCTCTCCCCCACCACCCATTTCCCTCTTCCTGTCCGAGGATCTCCCCCTCCTCTTCCCTCTCTTCTTTGGAGACGCCGGCAGTGGGGAGACCCAGCCCCCCTTGATCACCAGCTCCTCCATCATTTCCCTCACCTCATCCCCCTGGGCACTTGACATCTCACTTTCCCCCCACTCCGGCCCCCCCTCTCCCCGCTTCTCCTCTCCTCCCAGGGCTGTGGCTGGCTCCTCCCCGACCTCCTCTCCTTCCGCCGCCTCCATCTCCGGCACCTCCTCTCCCACACTCCCGTCCATCTCAGTCTCCGGCACCACCTCTCCTTCCAGAACTGCTACGGCAGTCTCCTGCCCGTCCCCCTCTCCTCCCGCTGCTGTTCTCGGCTCCTCCTCCGTCGTCGATGGTATTGCCTCTGGCCCTGCGCTTGGGTCTGGAACTCCTCCTCCTCTTCCTCCTCCATCCCCCGCTCCTGCCCCTGCTCCCCCACCAGCTGCAACTGCATACGACTTGTGACAAGCCGTACACTCCCTCCACAGGTGTGCTGACGATCCACACCCGTGGCACTTCTTCGACTCGTCACAGTCCTTCGCCTCATGTGCCTCAGCCCATACACCCTGCATTTCTTCGCCCTACATGAGGCGAAATTATGGCCATAGGCCATGCATCGTCTGCAGAAAGGGGGCTGACGGGCATAAAACAATGTCCCCCTGTCAGCCCCCAGGGAGAACAGAGCTGGAGGATGTAGGTAACCTCCCAGGCCCTTTGGGTCTTCCCTCGACAGAGCCTCGAAGCTTCTCCTCCCGTTCCAGAACCCTAGCAAGTCTTTGAGGAACCTTGCAGAGGATACATTGTCCATATACCTCCCCATAAAAGCCCTCACCTCCTCATCCTTAACATGCGGGTTATACATGTTTACTGTTATTACCCTGAAGTTTTCTTGGCCAAGCTTGTCACCTCGTAGTGGCACATCGGCCTGGCCTTCTCCACCTCCCTCGCCTTTTTCATGACCTCGTCATGCTTCCCCCCGTGTGAAAAACCACATCATAAGCCCCTTCCAAGGGGTTCGCCTGGAGGCACATCACATCCTTTACCGCCAGCTTTAACACTCCCATCAACAAAGTCCTCCCAAATGTTTCCCTTCCAAAGGCTCCATGTCCTTCTCCTTCCACGCAAACCTAACTGCATTCGTGATCCCAATCCTGGGAATCGCCCTAAAATTCGCATTTTTCACCATCTCCGCGAGGAGAATAGCGCCCGCACCACTGCTCCGACTCTTCTCTATATTAGTTACAAACAATTTTTTAACTATTTTAATTTATTTAAACCACCGCTAGCTTCCTTCTTAGACAGTCGTAGTACTGCTGAGCATCGAGAAACTAGCAGAGAAAACTGAGCAAGGAAACACAGGGAAGTGAGGGCATAAATACACAGGTGAATCAGATAGACACAGGTGACACCAATAAGAAGATGATTAGTCCCGACTGTGAGTGAGGAGGTGCCTAAGGTTGTCGGAGGATGACACCTAGTGGGTCGCTCCGGAACTGCGACCCCCTCCTGTAACAGGATTAAAAACTATAATTTAATACGTACAGAGGAATGTGTTAGCAGAAAAAGTATTTTATTAACAAAAGGTGAACATTTATGTTTGAACTTTTTTTGTTGCAGTTTTAAAGCAAATTTCCTGCAATTCTACACATTTTGCCATTACTTATGCCATGTTAGTATGATATCTGAGTGAGAGTCACTAACAAAATCAATGGGGGCCCCCTGGAGGTCAGGGCCCCTGGGCATGTGCCCTGCGTGCCCAGTTGGTAATTCGACCATGGTTATTACAAGTTCAGATAGCTGGCTAGACTAACTAGACTAATTTACCAATCTAAATGTTTTTACTGACATGGGCTAATTGAGTGATTGTCAGTGAATTACATATAACAACAGGAAAACTGCTGATGCACAACCAAGTTTAGAAATTGCACCTTGTATATTCTACTATTCTAACTCTTAACAGTAAGTTGAGACCTTGACTGAATTCCAAAAGGAATATACAGTACACCGAGTGTACAAAACAGGAGTACCCCCTTTTGCCCTCAGAACAGCCTCAATTTGTCGGGGCATGGACTCTACATGTCGAAAGCGTTCCACAGGGATGCTGGCCCATGTTGACTCCAATGCTTCGCACAGTTGTGTCAAGTTGGCTAGATGTCCTTTGGGTGATGGACCATTCTTGATACACAAGGGAAACTGTTGAGCATTAAAAACTCAGCAGCGTTGAAGTTCTTGACACACTCAAACCGGTGCACCTGGCACCTACTACTATACCCCGTTCAAAGGCACTTAAATCTTTTGTCTTGCCCATTCACCTTCTGAATGGCACACATACACAATCCATGTCTCAATTGTCTCAAGGCTTAAAACTCATTTTTTAACCTGTCTCCTCCCCTTCATCTACACTGATTGAAGTGGATTTAGCAAATGACATCAATAAGGGATCATAGCTTTCATCTGGATTCACCTGGTCAGTCATGGTGTTCCTAATCTTTTGTACACTCAGTGTACAGTACCGGTCAAAAGTTTTAGAACACCTACTCATTCAAGGGTTTTTCTTTATTTTTACTGTTTTCTACATTGTAGAATAATAGTGAAGACATCAAAACTATGAAATAAAACATATGGAATCATGTAGTAACCCAAAAAGTGTTAAACAAATCAAAATATATTTTATATTTGCGATTCTTCAAATAGCCACCCTTTGCCTTGATTACAGCGTTGCACAATATTGGCATTCTCTCAACCAGCTTCACCTGGAATGCTTTTCCAACAGTCTTGAAGGAGTTCCCACATATGCTGTGCACTTGTTGGTTGCTTTTCCTTCACTCTGTTGTCCGACTCATTTACATTTTTACATTTAAGTCATTTAGCGACTTACAAATTGGTGCATTCAACTTAGGATAGCCAGTGGAACAACCACCTTTTTGTTTCTTTTTTTATGGGGGGGTAGGGGAGGGGGGGGGGGATAGAAGGATTACTGTTATACTATTCCAGGTATTCCTTAAAGAGTTAGGGTTTCAAGTGTCTCCGGAAGGTGGTAAGTGACTCCGCTGTCCTGGCGTCGTGGGGGAGCTTGTTCCACCATTGGGGTGCCAGAGCAGCGAATAGATTTGACTGGGCTGAGCGGGAACTGTGCTTCCGTAGAGGTAGGGGGGCTAGCAGGCCAGAGGTGGATGAACGTAGTGTCCTTGTTTGGGTGTAGGGTCTGATCAGAGCCTGAAGGTAAGGAGGTGCCGTTCCCCTCACAGCTCCGTAGGCAAGCACCATGGTTTTGTAGTAGATGCGAGCTTCAACTGGAAGCCAGTGGAGTGTGCGGAGGAGCGGGGTGACATGAGAGAACTTGGGAAGGTTGAACACCAGACGGGCTGCAGCGTTCTGGGAAGTTGTAGGGGTTTAATGGCACAGGCAGGGAGCCCAGCCAACAGCGAGTTGCAGTAATCCAGATGGGAGATGACAAGTGCCTGGATTAGGGCCTGTGCCGCTTTCTGTGTAAGGTAGGGTCGTACTCTGCGAATGTTGTAGAGCATAAACCTGCAGGATCGGGTCAACGCTTTGATGTTAGCGGAGAACGACAGGGTGTTGTCCAGGGTCACGCCAAGGTTCCTTGCACTCTGGGAGGAGGACACAATGGAGTTGTCAACCGTGATGGCGAGATCATGGAGCAGGCAGTGCTTCCCCGGGAGGAAGAGCAGCTCTGTCTGGTTCAGCTTGAGGTGGTGGTCCGACATCCACACTGATATGTCCGCCAGACATGCAGAGATGCGATTCGCCACCTGGGTATCAGAAGGGGGAAAGGAGAAAATTAATTGTGTGTCATCTGCGTAGCAATGATAGGAGAGACCATGTGAGGATATGACAGAGCCAAGTAACTTGGTGTATAGAGAGAATAGGAGAGGGCCTAGAACTGAGCCCTGGGGTTCCAGTGTTGAGAGCACGTGGGGCGGAGACAGATTCTCGCCACGCCACCTGGTAGGCGCGACCTGTCAGGTAGGACGCAATCCAAGAGTGAGCAGCGCCGGAGATGCCCAACTCGGAGAGGGTGGAGAGGAGGATCTGATGGTTCACAGTATCAAAGGCAGCAGATAGGTCTAGAAGGATAAGAGGAGAGAGAGTTAGCTTTAGCAGTGCGGAGAGCTTCCGTGACACAGAGAAGAGCAGTCTCAGTTGAATGACCAATCTTGAAACCTGACTGGTTAGGATCAAGAAGGTAATTCTGAGAGAGATAGCAGAAGAGTTGGCTAGAGACGGCACGCTCAAGTTTGGGAGAGAAAATAAAGAAGGGATACTGGTCTGTAGTTGTTGACATTGGAGGGATCGAGTGTAGGTTTTTTGAGGAGGGGTCCAACTCTCGCTCTCTTGAAGACGGAAGAGACATAGCCAGCGGTCAAGGATGAGTTGATGAGCGAGGTGAGGTAAGGGAGAAGGTCTCTGGAGACGTGGTCTGGAGAAGAGAGGAGGGGATAGGGTAAAGCGGGCAGGTTGTTGGGCGGCCGGCTGTTACAAGTCGCAAGATGTCATCTGGAGAGAGAGGGGAAAAATAAGTCAAAGCATAGGGTAGGGCAGTGTGAGCAGGACCAGTGGTGTCATTTGACTTAATAAATGAGGATTGGATGTCGTCAACCTTCTTTTCAAAATGGTTGACGAAGTCATCCACAGAGAGGGAGGAGGGAGGGGGAGGAGGAGGATTCAGCAGGGAGGAGAATATGGCAAAGAGCTTCCTAGGGTTAGAGGCAGAGGCTTGAAATTTAGAGTGGTAGAAAGTGGCTTTAGCAGCAGAAACAGAGGAAGAAAATGTAGAGAGGAGGGAGTGAAAAGATGACAGGTCCGCAGGGAGTCTAGTTTTCCTCCATTTCCGCTCGGCTGCCCGGAGCCCTGTTCTGTGAGCTCGCAATGATTTGTCAAGCCACGGAGCAGGAGGGGAGGACCAAGCCGGCCGGGAGGATAGGGGACATAGAGAGTCAAAAGATGCAGAAAGGGAGGAGAGGAGGGTTGAGGAGGCAGAATCTGGAGATCGGAAGGAGAAGGATTTAGCAGAGGGAAGAGATGATAGGATGGAAGAGGAGACAGTAGCGGGAGAGAGAGCGAAGGTTGCGACGGCACATTACCATCTGAGTAGGAGCAGAGTGAGTAGTGTTGGAGGAGAGCGAGAGAGAAAAGGATACAAAGTAGTGGTCGGAGACTTGGAGGGGAGTTGCAGTGAGATTAGTAGAAGAACAGCATCTAGTAAAGATGAGGTCAAGCGTATTGCCTGCCTTGTGAGTAGGGGGGATGGTGAGAGGGTGAGGTCAAAAGAGGAAAGGAGTGGAAAGAAGGAGGCAGAGAGAAATGAGTCAAAGGCAGACGTAGGGAGGTTAAAGTCACCCAGAACTGTGAGGGGTGAGCCATCCTCAGGAAAGGAACTTATCAAGGCGTCAAGCTCATTGATGAACTCTCCAAGGGAACCTGGAGGGCGATATATTATAAGGATGTTAAGCTTGAATGGGCTAGTGACTGTGACAGCATGGAATTCAACGTCAGGGGGAAAAGAGAGAAATCCACTGGAGGGTAGCATAGGCTGAGATGAACTCTGCCT